AACTTGATCGCTACTACATACATGATGGAAGTAAACCTAAGTACCCCTCACCTGTAAACATTTATTTTATAAATAAGGATTTAATAAGGCCACCTATTACTAGACCTTAAAACCCTAGTTAGAATCTAAGAACAATACATTTAATAGGGTATTTTATGTCAAATGAATTCGATTAGCCTCTAAATAGTGAAATGTGTTATGGAACTGAATCAAGAGATATAATGCAAAATACAGAATGTAACTGTCGATACCTACATGGACATTGTCCTGAAAGGGGTCGGAGCAAGTGCGGTTTACTCCAACCCTCATGTTGTATCAACACCAACATTCACGGATGATTAAACACAGTGCGAAAAGGAGGAAGAGGTTCCTACGAACCTGACCCTCCTAGGTAGCAAATACTTAAATCCCGACACGGAGAGAGAGGGAGAAAATATTTAATTTCAGTGTGATCGTTTAAATGCAAACCTGCAGTAATAAATTTTAAGCACTCCACGAAATATATTCTTTTTAAAATTGTTATGTACATTCTGTAGTTTTCTAAAACCTGCAAATGAAAAAAAAACAATAAAAATCCTTTATATGTTATAATATTACTTTACTTCTTTAACATTTACAAAAATTATATTTATTTTTATATTTATTATCTTTGTAATTTTACACTTAGACCATCTAGAAGGTGGCGCGGTTATCATTGGTGAATCATGTTCACTGGTTGTACTTGTCACGTTGTGTTTCAATAAACTGTAAATGGCTTAGTATTAGTAAGTATGCTAGTTTTAAGACTACGATTTAGTTTGAATTTCGATTGTACTGTACTGAAAGAACTTTAATTATTTCTTGAATTTGTTTAAGACTTTATGCAAAATTTGTAAAGCACTTACAACTTGTCGAATATCAAAATGCCTAAAGAGAAATCTAAGAAGAAATCGAGACAACATGAGCAGATTCAGAAACAAGGTGTTCAATTTAATAGAGACCTTGGGCAACATATTCTGAAAAATCCACTTATTGTTAACAGTATGGTGGAGAAAGCGGCTATACGATCCACTGATGTCGTTTTAGAAGTAGGTCCAGGAACAGGCAACATGACGATAAAGCTCCTGGATAAATCTAAGCGAGTAGTAGCTTGTGAAGTCGACCCACGTTTAGTTGCAGAACTACAGAAGCGAGTTCAAGGATCTCCATCACAAAGCAAACTGCAAATTATTGTCGGAGATGTTTTAAAAACCGATTTACCTTTTTTTGATGTCTGTGTTGCCAATTTGCCGTATCAGATTTCTTCACCTTTTGTTTTCAAGTTACTTCTGCACAGACCGTTTTTTCGGTGTGCTATTTTAATGTTTCAGCGAGAATTTGCCCAGCGCCTGGTAGCCAAGCCTGGTGACAAACTGTACTGTAGGCTATCGGTAAATACTCAACTCCTAGCTCGAGTAGACCACCTGATGAAAATTGGGAAAAACAATTTTAGGCCTCCACCGAAAGTAGAATCCAGTGTTGTGCGTCTTGAACCCAGAAATCCACCACCTCCAATTAATTTTCAAGAATGGGATGGATTACTACGAATTTGTTTCATTAGAAAAAATAAAACTTTAGGTGCTGCTTTTAAACAGACCTCAGTACTGGAAATGTTAGAAAAGAACTATAAAATTCATTGTTCTGTCAAGAATATTTGCATACCAAAAGATTTCAGTGTTAAATCAAGAGTGGAAGAGCTTCTTACAGCAAACAATTTTGATAAACAGCGCGCAAGGACAATGGACACAGATGATTTTTTGGGTTTGTTACATTGCTTTAACTCAAATGGATTTCATTTTGCATGATGTACTTCATAATCTATTTTATTAACAGCTCAATTCTTTCATACTAACTGATGCTAATAAAATTATGGAGTCAAACTATGCTAGGCCACAGCTTTTTCTTTTTGAATCGATGAAAATGAATTTCACATGCATATAACATAAAGCTTTATAATTTGGAAGATTATCAATTCCTTGTGAAATGTTAATTTTCTTTTCAGTGATGTTACTTGTTATCTGGATGATGGAAAGGATGAGGATTTGGTATACTTCGATTTTCAAATATTTTGTGATAAAATGCCACACTGGAGATGATCTAAAAAAATCTTATCTCTAAGTATTGGGGAATGAATAATTTGATTGTAGGGTGGTTGGGTGAGTGAAAGTAAGAAGTTGTTATTAATGGAGGCCAGTCAAATTAAGCTCTTGTTATTAGAATACCTAAGGAATTGGTAAGAGCCTTTGCTCTTATTAACTTTAGTGATACTTACAGGGACATAATTAATACAGTTTATTGATGAAGTTAATTTTTTTGGTTTTTTAGTCTGTAATGAGGATGTTGAGCTACTAAATAACGACTTAGATCAATTGGTAAGTTGAGAAATGTTCAGTGAATGACCTTTAATTATAGAGGTGCAAGATTATGTGGATTATGATAATTTGAATCAAACTTTTGATACAGATGGAATCCCACTCATTAACATAACGTAAGAAAAGGATCTTGGCTAAGTGGTGGATAAGTAATTCATGATCTGTTTTTAGTGTCAAAACTAATAGAATTTTAGAGTGTATTTATTGACACATTTATTTCAGCTCGAAGGAGATAATTATCTTGATAAAATAATCAGGATTCACTTCGAATACTGTACGCAGTTTTGGTTGCCTTGTATAAGAAAGGAAGGATATTGAGTTATTGGACAGAGTTTGACAGCATTTGAATTTCTGTAAAGTAAGTAATTTGGCAGAAATTTAAATGTTATAAATGTTTGTTTATATACATGTTCTAACTCATATTTGTGTGGCAAATCATAGGTAGAGAGAGAGGGGTAAACTGTGGAAAACAGCAGCAAGATTTAAAGAATAACTTAAGCTTTTGCATGCAATGGATACAGTGGGTAATAATGACTTTCGGGAAGTTAGTAATGGTATTCATAGGGATAGTATTAGTAGTAGTGAATTTAATAATAATGAGAAAGTTCTATTAAGTAACAGATTTCAGCCTTTAGCTTGTGCAGATGAAGAACTTGGCGAGGAATTAATAACAAAAGGGACAACTAACAATAGGAATGAAAAACATGAGGAACTTAAATATACATATAATTTAAGGACGAAAGGAGATCTGTTGATCCATCTAGGCTATCCCATTCACTATACTAAACTTTAATAAAATGAAATGCTCAAAGTCAGCCCTTATCATTGAGAGAAGTATCAAACCTTCCCTTAAGCTCCCTTAAATTCTTGGCATCTACCACATCTAAAAGTAACCCATTTCAAAGGCCAGCCATCCTTTTAGAAAAATAAATCTTTCTTCGCTGAAGGTGGCTCCTACCTCAAAATTTAGATGTTTTTTCTAGTTTTACCATTCTCACCATTAAATATGAAAAAAAAATGATGCATCAACACTATCAAACCCGATGACGAGGAACCCACTTTGAGACTAATAATGGTTGAATATGGCTTGAATGGGTAATGAAGAAAAACTTTAATATAAGTTTAACACAACAGCAAATGTACAATGTTTCGACAAGGTTTTTGTCATTGTTAGGTGATGATGCATCAACACTATCAAATCCGATGACGAGGAACCCACTTTGAGACTAATAATGGTTGAATATGGCTTGAATGGGTAATGAAGAAAAACTTTAATATAAGTTTAACACAACAGCAAATGTACAATGTTTCGACAAGGTTTTTGTCATTGTTAGGTGATGAGGACAAAACTTTGTTGAAACGTTGTACATTTGCTGTTGTGTTAAACTT